ACATGATGGGAAATTCGCACCAAAATATATTTACAATGATTAAAACTAGAATGTTAATTCAATCTTGCATCATGTGGTGAGCAAAAATATTAAGATGACAAGGACAAAATTCACAAAGACAACTCAAGGCCATCCCAGACAATAGGTGACTGATTTATAGCAGCTCAGTTTGTCTAATAAATTTTAGACTTCTTTTGAGAAAAAAATCTGCAGCAGAAAATTTGATGTAAGAAGGCAGCTGTGAAAACCCCATGCATCCTTAAAGCGAGGCTTGGTGCTTCTCTGAGTCAAATTTACTGCTTTTTGTCAAGGGGAAGGGCACACACCAAGGAGTAATGGTTCAGCACCAACTTCTGCCAGAGTGGATTGAATTATGTCCCATAAAAAATTTATGAGATTTGAGCAGGTCTAATTTATAAAAGGGGGCTGTGAGACTACCCCTCGTGCTTTGGTTCTTCTTTTATCGCCCTCTCCTTTCCTTTCCTCACCATCCTGAAGTCTGGTGATTGGCCAAGGAACTGTAACACAAACAGCTGAGTGGACACAATGTTTCACAGCTTAGGCTTTGATTAACCGCTTCCAAGTACATCAAATTAGAGTGCAAATCACATTAAGGCCAAGTGAACATTTTAATGCTTTGGGTTCTGTCTTTGATATCTCCCCCCCCCCCCCCCCCCCTTGTTTTTCCCCTCCACACTACACGGTGTCATCTTCACTGGTTTAGCAAAAAATCTTGAAATCAAATTTGCAAAATTTGCATCTATTATTTCAAATTAAACAACACTAATGTGACTCTGAGCATAATGAAGTCACCTTTTTGTAGTTACTACAAAATATCAAACTCTCTCCATGTACAGGTCTATTATAAAAAAAAAATTCATAAATGGATTTTAAAGACAAAAGTGTTACAAGATACTGATAAACTGTGGATGAGCCAAGCAAATCCTTAAATACAGCCATTTTTGCCCTGTCAGACTCCTGGAAGGCTTTATTTATGTTCTGAGGATGACATTCAGATTTTCAATTTATACCCAAAACATAGAAGCTACACATCTGTGAACTTTATGGCAAATAGAATGCAGAACAAAAAGAGGCATAAAGTGCTGAATCAGGTCACCCTATTGTATCAACAATCAATATTGATTGTGTAAAAGGATTACAGAGTGACAACCTCTTTGCATTTACCACCCAGCTGGAATAATGTGTCATCACCACATCCAACAACACTGTTTGTTTATTAAAGCTTATACAATTTTTGTCATGAATGGAAAAATACTATCATCATATACAGCCATACTGTAAGTCTTACAGCAAGTACTAAATGTTGCTTATTAAAGCAACTGTTCAGCTCTTTTAGAATGAAGCTCTCTTTAAACTTAATGAATAATTCATGGCTTACCTGTTGTAGAAAAAGTTTTGACCAAGAAGGCGTAAAGTTGCCATCTGACCGGATTGATTAGCTAAAAACTAGTCCCAGCAGGACCAAGACCATATTAAAACGCCTAAAAATGTTTTAATATCATTTAATTCATATGTTGTTTGACAAATCATTCAATTGATGAATTGTTTGAATAAACAAATTATTGAAATATATATATATTATATATATATTGTATAACTTTATATTATATTCATTCATTACAGATAGACTGATATATATTTCAAATGTTTATTTCTTTTAATGTTGATGATTATAAATGACAATGAAAACACCAAATTCACTATCTCATAAAATTTGAAAATTGTGAAAGTTCCATATTGAAGACTCCTGGTGCCACACACTAATATGCTAATTAGCTCAAAACACTTGCAAAGGCCTTTAAATGGTCTCTCGGTCTATTTCTGTAGGCTACACAATCATGGGGAAGACCGCTGACTTGACAGTTGTCCAAAAGATAACCATTGACACCTTGCACAAGGAGGGCAAGACACAAGGTCATTGCTAAAGAGGCTGGCTGTTCACAGAGCTCTGTGTCCAAGCACATTACTAGAGAGGTGAAGGGAAGGAAACGATGGGGTAGAGAAAAGTGTACAAGCAATAGGGATAACCACACCCTGGAGAAGATGGTGAAACAAAACCCATTCCAAAATGTGAAGGCGATTCACAAAGAGTGGACTGCAGCTGGAGTCAGTACTTCAAGAACCACCACGCACAGACTTATGCAAGACATGGGTTTCAGCTGTTGCATTCCTTGTGTCAAACCACTCTTGAACAAGAAACAACGTCAGAAGTGTCTCGCCTGGGACTGCTGCTGAGTGGTCCAAAGTTATGTTCTCTGATGAAAGTAAATTTTGCATTTCCTTTGGAAATCAAGATCCCAGAGTCTGGAGGAAGAGAGGAGAGGCACAGAATCCACATTGCTTTAGGTCCAGTGTCAAGTTTCCACAGTCAGTGATGGTTTGGGGTGCCATGTTGTCTGCTGGTGTTGAGCCACTGTGTTTTCTGAGGTCCAAGGTCAACACTGCCATCTACCAGGAAGTTTTAGAGCACTTCATGTTCCCTACTGCTGACCAACTTTATGGAGATGCATATTTCATTTTCCAACAGGACTTGGCACCTACACACAGTGCCAAAGCAACCAGTACCTGTTTTAAAGACCATGGTATCCCTGTTTTTAATTGACCAGTAAACTCACCTGACCTTAACAATAGAAAATCTATGGGATATTGTGAAGAGGAAGATGTGATACACCAGACCCAACAATTCAGAAGAGCTGAAGGCCACTATCAGAGCAACCTGGGCTCTCATAACACCTGAACAGTGCCGCAGACTGAATGACTCCATAACACGCTGCACTGCTGCAGTAATCCAGGCAAAAGGAGCCCCAACTATTGAGTGCTGTACATGTTCATACTTTTCAGTTGGCCAACATTTCTAAAAATATATATTTTTAAATTGGTCAAGTAATATTCTAATTTTCTGAGATAATGAATTTGGGGTTTTCATTAGTTGTCAGTAATAATCATCAACATTAAAATAAAAAAAACATTTATTATTTCTACAGAATGAAGCATGCAATGTAAAACCAACAGTGATTTAAGTGTTTGTAAAATAGCACTTGCATCAAGTGCTATACATTTTTTTTAGCTTGTAGTTATTCTGATAGCAACATTCTACTTTGTCTCATGGCTCAGCTCAAACTACGGTAGTTATTAAGGTTGCAGTCCACTGGGCTGTGACTTGTTGACAAGCAGAATTCAGAAGAGAGTCTCTAGACAGTTTTGCTAAATTCTCAGCAGTGGTGAGCACAGCTATCCATAAAGTTAGCTTTGCTAACACATATTCCTCTAACTGAAAACATTAGATTCACTAACGCTAATCTGCTAAACAGGTTTAAAAAATTAGCAGAAGCTAACACTTAACTGCTAAGACAAAGGTCACCCAGTCTGCATCACATGTCTTCATCCCCTTCCCAATGAAGCTATTTTGACCAATTACATGTGTGTGTAGTAACTTGCAAGTTAAATATTTAGTTAGCAAGCTAAATGTTTAGCTCAACACTAAATATTTAGATTACAAACTAAATGTTTATGTCCAAGCTAAATGTTTAATTTACAAACTAAATATTTAACTTGCAAGTTAAATATTTAATTAGTGAACTAAATATTTAGGTGTAAATTAAATATTTAATTTCCAAGCTAATTATTTTATTTTAAAAACTAAACATTTAATTTCTAAGCTAAACATTTAATTGCTAAACTAAATATTTAATTTGCTAACTAAATATTTAGCTTGGACTTTATTCTCCAAGCTAAACATTTAATTTCCAAAATAAATATTAAATTTACTAACTAAATATTTAGCTCAGACCTAAATATTTAATTTGCAAGTTAAATATTTAGTTTGTAAATGAAACATGTAGCTTGGACATAAACATTTAGCTTGCAATCTAAATATTTAGCGTGGAGCTAAATATTTAGTTTGCTAATTAAATATTTAAGTTGAAATCTAAATATTTAGCTTGTAAATTAAATATTTAGTTTGGAACTATGACATTTATACATTTATGAATAACAGTGAAAATATGACTTTGAAAAAAAAAACTATTTGTTTTTCTCATGAAAGGCTAAATAAACCAAAATATTGCTGTTAAGTTTTGACTGTATAACTTTACAAACGGCACCCCATAACCCGGTACCTTTTATTTTTTCCATTTTTCCCTTAATTATTAGTCATCAAATAGACATAAACAGGGATACAATAAGCTCTTCAAATTAATCAAAATTAAACTTTCTGTGAATTTAGACCATTCATGGAGCTTTCCACAACACCTAAGATATCAATTGTTCATAAACTAATCACACTTGAAACTATTGCTTTAACTATGTTTTTTTTTTCATTGAGCAGAGAAAATATGTCCAATTGTTGCATCACAATATTTTACATTACCATTATGAAAAGTAAAACAGCCTGAACACACACAGGCACATATTTTGTTTTGCATCTCCATGGAAGCATGAACTGTATCCCCACCTCGTTTTTATGAATGCCATGTCTACTGGCAGCTTGGGCTTGTGAGCGTAAAGCATAACTAACATCAAAATGCTGCTCTAAAAGCCAAATATCTCAGTAACATCTCAACGTAACTCAATATTGAATGATTTTTCAAGGCTTTGAAGTGCAAATTTTTCCCAGTACGAAGAGCAGCAACATAGCAGTAATATTAATGAATGAGTACATCACTTGTTTTTGCACGATGTGGTCAAATATTGTAGATGGTGGATCACTTCAGCCGTATTAACTTGAATAAAATGAACGACAGCACACTTTTAGACACATTTATAAACAGGTCTTCATGGCTAAAAGCCTACAACAAAATGAAAATAAACCCATTCAACTGAATGGTACTACTCTTCTCTTCATATTGCACAGTGGAGTTAAACGCAGTGCCATGCTTATATAGCAACAAGACCGAAAAATCCCGCATTGATACATTCAAAGAAGGGGGGATAAATACTGCTCCGCTGTAATTATCCTGGTTCGTTTCATTTTCTTTTTCTTTTTTTTTTTTTTTACCACATCCCACATTACTTGAGGCAGGGTCAGCAGGTGGAAAAGAATGTCAAGAAGATGGAAGGCAGTGTGCATCACAATGCACCATATTCACAATGAAGCAGATGCTCAACAAAATCATTAAATCAGATTTTTTTGTGCAACTGTTTGCAGTTATGTAGAGCCACCTCGTGCTCAGTTCTGCGCTCAACTCTTGACCTGCCTGATGTCTTGTGAGCCTGTTTGAAATAAATAAATAAATAAATAAATAAATAAATAAATAAGAACAAATAGAATAGGCTTTGAGGTTCATTATAACATGGCGATAGCTACACCAGAATCATAATGCCCCTTGATCGTAATTATCCTGGCAGCCAGCATCAGCAGCAGACCAGTTGCCACCTCCAGGCTGTAGGAGAGCCATGCAGAAGCCAAGGACCAGCCAAATGACACATGGACGTAAATTAGATTCTCAGGGGGCACAACTCGCTGGAACTCCTCCATGGCCTGGTTGGAGTATTTGATGTAGATGCTGACCCCAGTCAGGGTAAAAACACCTGCAGACAAAGAAAAAGTACAGTTTTAAAAATATAACTTCTTTGTGCTGCTACTGCACAGAAGTGCACTTACGTGTGAAACAAGTAACTTGAGTTTCTTCATCTTATACTGTAAACACAAGGATTTATTACACAACACGATCCACACATCGTTTTTTTTCTGTACCCAATTTAGACAGAAAGTGTGAGTAGAACCAACACACAAAACAACACATGAAGGCAGAAAACACTTCATGCTTATGTACAACCAATTAACCCAGCGGTGGTATTCATATCTGTGGGATTTGTTTTCTTGTTATTTACTCAAAGAAAGGTTGTAGAGAGAACAGCCATTCAAACCCAGATGTCCCGAAAATGCATAACTGCCTGAAAACCAGCAACATAACCAGCAACACATGTTTCAGTTTAAGATATTTTTCCATGTTTTAAAAGCATGCACATGCTGACCTTACTATTTTCTCTTTTATTTGTGAGATTTGTGTATTATTAAGATAGTTGGGGTGAATTTAACATATTTATTTTGGTAGACCTATTCTCGACGCAGACAGGTGTTTTACCACCTGATACATTTCAAACCAGGCTAAAATCTTGCTGCCTGTGCTAAAATAATCAGCATCAGAATCAATTTTATTGCCATTGCACAGTTAAGTGCAGCAAAAATACTTTTCAGTGCAGCCGTCCAACAAGGATAGACAGAAGTGCACAAAGGCTGCAGCTTCATTGTGAAGCGCTGCCCTTATCGCTTAGCTAAGAAAAAGGGAAGAAAACATGAGGAAAGAAGGTATTAAAAAATATCTCTCACACTGTGTTCTTGACAGGCAGCACAGTGGCGCAACTGGTAGAGCTGCTGCCTCTCAGCGAGCAGGTCCTTGGTTCAAACCCCGGTCCAGGGGCCTTTCTGGGTGGAGTTTGCATGTTCTCTCCGTGTATGCGTGGGTTTTCTCAGGGTGCTCCGGTTTCCTCCCACAGACCAAAAACATGCATGTTAGGGTTAGGGTAATGCTGTGCCTGATGTAAAATCAGAGTTGTCAGACTGAATCATTACTTTTTTTTGGTTGAAAACTGTGCGCATGTGGCGTTAAAGTCTTTTCTTCGAGAGCTAAGAAGCGAAGCTGCAAGCTAAGTACAGCTGGCTTGCCTTAGTGTTGCCGTATTCGGACGCATGCACAAAACGCTGTGTTCCGTCAAAAGTTTTTTTTTTCCGTCGAAAGTTAAAGTAAGCGTTGGTCAGCTTTAGAGAAACCTGCTCTCTGATCTGTAAAAGAACGCTGTGTTGTGTGAATTTACTGCGAGACCCTCTGGTCAAATCAACAGTCATTTTGTGTCAGCCCTCCATTAAAGCAGAAGGAGGCGCCAACTAGAGAGTTGGAGGGGGAAGTGTTTTCAGTTGCTGCTATGTTGCTGTTCGTTTCTTAAGCAAGAATACTGGAAACTGTTAAGAGTTAACAACATATTATTTTGTTTAAAACATATGGCTAAAACTACATTTGATATCTTTTGCACTGTTTTGCACTACAAGAAAGAAGCCTAATACTTGATTTGTTTATTATTTAAAAACTCTCTGGACCTAGTAGTGGAATTTTCTTGATTCAAAATAAATGATGGCAAAAAGACAACCTATGCTGTTTTAAAATTCCTATTGCAAGTTTTATACCAAAAACATATTGCGACATATATCGTTATCGCCACCCTTCACAATACATATCGTGATATGAATTTTATGCCATATCGCACATCCCTAGTATGCATGTATCCTTTATTTAACCAGGAAAAATAACTCATTGAGATTAAAAACATCTTTTTCAAGAGTGACATGGCCAAGACAGCAGCATAAAACATACAACAAATCCAAAATACTAGATAGATAGATCGAATACTAGATGGATAGAATAAAGCGTCTGCCTTCGTCGAGAGCAAGTAAAAAAAAAAACAGAATCAGAATAAGCTTTATTGTCATTGCACAGTTAAGTACAGCGAAATTATGTTCTGTACAGCCATCCTAAAGATGGATGGAAGTGTACAGGGGCTGCAATTTCTGAGAAGCGCTGCCCTTATTGCTTAGATAGAAAAAGGGAAGACAACATAAGGAGAAAGAGGTTTAAAAAAAGATCTCTCACATCGTGTCCTTGACAAGGCACGGTTTATTGTATCAAAAAAAAAAAATCTACCACAGCAAGTAACATAGATAGACATGATACATATGCATGGATGACAAGACTGTGAGATTTGTCCATGAGCACTTCCAGACAGTTTCCATAGTCCTGATAAGATGTTATTGTTTCTCAGCTGGTACAAGTATCCATAGTCCTGAAAAGATGTTAGTGTTTTTCAGCCGTACAGATATCCATAGTCCTGATAAAATGTTACAGTGTTTCTCAGCCGGCACGAGTATCCATAGTCCTGATAAGATGTTACAGTGTTTTTCAGCTGGTACAGATATTTAAGATTTTACAGTGTTTTTCAGCCGGTACAGATATCTAAGATGTTACAGTGTTTCTCAGCCGGTACAGATATCTAAGATGTTACAGTGTTTCTCAGCCGGCACGCGTATCCATAGTCCTGATAAGATGTTACAGTGTTTCTCAGCCGGTTCAACTCGGATAAGTGTTCACAGAAGTTCTCGGGGGGAGGGGGTGCGGGGGATGTAGCAGAGCTTACTTATTTACATATCCACCAGACGATTCGGAAGATGTGTAAAGAGAGGCTCTGACACACAGGACAAAGAGCAAAAGAATGGGGAAGGCAGTAGAGTGAAGAAAAGTGTCTGTTTTGTTTGAGGGCAAGTGAGAAAAAAAAATCTGAGATTCAGAGATTTATTTGTCATTCGCATCTCATGTGGTACATGTGGTGGAACGAGATTATGTACACAGGGTCCCAGTTACACCCAACATTAAAATGTAAAAGAAAAACAGTAATAAGATCTAAGATATGAACTAAGAAAAACATCAGCTAAATAATACACTAAGCACTAATGGCATAAAAACGTTACGTCGAACAGCAGCACAAACATGAGTCTGTGTGAGCAGATGAGCACGCATGAACACATCAACATGAAACCGATCAGCAGCAACATGATGTGATTTTTCACAGTGATTATTCTGGTTAGAGATTCATGAGTCTAACACCCTCAGGGTAGAAGCTGTTCCTCAGTCTAGTGGTTCTACACTTAATGCTCCGACCTTAACCTCCTTCCTGAGGGGAGTGGGGCAAAAAGTGTGTGTGCTGGGTGAGTGGGGTCCTTCATGCATCTAGAGGTGTAAATGTTTGTGGCGGTGGGGAGGCTGACTCCAAATGCCTGGCTGAATAAAAAAAGATTAAAAAAGGTCATTTTCCAGGCAGTTGCCAAGTAAGAGATTTTATGTCAAGAGCACAAGGGGGAAGAAAATGGCAACATATGTTCTCTGGGAGATTGACTTTTCTGTTTTTTGAGAACATTTTTTAAAATACCGGTACTTGCAAACAGTGCAATTTTCAAAACAGATATAGGAATGTGTGAGTGCTATAGAAAAGAAACATGGTAGGTTTGAAAAGAAAAGGTTTGCAGAGTAGTTTTACTCTGCCCTCTTTTAACTTGGACTTGCTGTGTGCGTGTGTGTTTGTGTCCCTGGATGATTTGCAGCTTGTTGCAAAGATCACAACCCTCTCCACCTGAGAAAGTGGCTTTGAGATATCTGACAGGTGTTAATATGCTGACCTGTCCATCTGCGTGTCCGTCTCTGGCCTTGGCAGAATGAGAGCTGCTCAAACTGAACCATGAAGGCGGTTCAAACACATCTGTGCTGAACATTTGCAGATTTTATATTCGTGTGAATCATTTAATGTAATGGCTGTTTTTAGATTGTCTGGTGATGCACAAGACTCACAAACAACAGAGTTCTGTCTGATGGGGCTGATTGCCCATTTTCTTTACTCTGTCTAGTAATCATCTGGTTGCTCTGGGTTCAGTGCTAACATTAAATTACATAACACCCTATTAATGACTAAGGCGTAGTCATGGGTCAGAAAAGGAACACATTAATTTATATTGTCTGCCCTTTGCAATGTCATGTGCAGTTTATTCCTCTCCCCAATGCACACTGAGAAACTTTTTAATCCCTGCACTATTTCAGTACATGTGTAAAATTATTAAGTAAAACATGTACCTTTTCTTAGTTTTTTACTTCTTTTTTTTAAACTAAATAAATTTCTCACTTTTAAATATGAGCTAAAAAAGTCAAGGATAACTTTATTCATCTGGTTGTTAATGAGGCCAATTTAAGTATGAAATTAAATTAAATGTTTTGGCAATTACTTTTTCAAAACCATCACAAAAAGGGGTTTGCTTCAAAGCAATGAAGAACCCTGCAATTATTAGATTCAAAAGCAGCCTCTGTAAACACATTTTTATTCAGTCATATGCAAATCTTCTCATTATGTTGCCTTCAAATATAATCTGATCATTTATTCTTCAGAAGGAAAAGGGTGCTGCAAACATCCCTCTGCTTAGAATTTTCATATTTCATAATATATCTTGAATCTTACCAACAATCAGAAAAAAGGTCTTGTTTGACTTAAGAGGTGGGCCAGAACAAAAAAAAATATCACACTATTAAATGTCAACAGCTAAATGTTTAAAGTATTCGGCCGATAAATGAGCAATTCAAAATGACCTTTAGCGTGGCGCTGTGGTAAGTAAAACCAATTTTCTCGGCACTATCTTGGAATTGGTTTACTTTTTGCTAATTACTCATTAAATAAATTTCACAAATTTTCTTTTTTTTACTTTGTTAAGTACAATGTAAATATAGAGGCATGAGAGCAGGAGATAGGAGGAAGATAAAATAAATAGTCATTTAGATCAAAACGTGTAAATTTGAAGCAGACTAATGTGCTCTATTGCCATCATACCCACTAACCTCTGTTACAGTAAAGTACCCGCTGCAAAATTCTGCCAGTATTTTACGAGCCATAGTCCGTACTTGTTGTTCTTTTCACGTCTCTTTTCTTCAGAAATCACCAGA